AGGGAGGGAGGGAGGAAGGAAGGGAGGGAGGGAGGAAGGAAGGGAGGAAGGGAGGGAGGAAGGAAGGAAGGGAGGGAGGGAGGGAGGAAGGGAGGGAGGGAGGAAGGAAGGGAGGGAGGGAGGGAGGAAGGAAGGAGGAAGGAAGGGAGGGAGGGAGGGAGGGAGGGTGGGAAGGAAGGAGGAAGGAGGGAGAAAGGGAGGGAGGGATGGAGGAGAGAGGAAGGAAGGAGGGAGGGAGGGAGAAAGGGAGGGAGGGAGGGAGGAGAGAGGGAGGAAGGAAGGAAGGAAAGAGGGAGGGAGGGAGGGGAAAGGCAAAGGAGAGGAGAGGAGGGGAGAGGAGGGGAGGGAAGGAAGAGAAAAGAAGAGGGGAAGAAGAGGGGAGAGGGAATTTCATCCAAGTAGAGGAAATATCAGTAAAGTGGAGGAAGGGGATTGAGGAGGAAGAAGAAAGGACTGGAAAGGGGAGAGATGGAAAGAATCTGAGCAAACTTCCATATGTGCTGCGTGGATGTGGCCGGGGCCCAGCATCAGGCCCGCCCACAGGGTGATGATCTAAAACTGTGGCGTAGACAGTAGGCGGATTGAAGAGGACCCATGGAGAGGAGGCGGGAGCTGGGGAGAAGGGAAGTGCTGGGGCTCAACTGGAGCAGGCTGCTTCCAAGCTTTTCTGACCATGTCAAGGTACATCCTGGTGTTGGGTCCCAACTAAAGACAATTTTTAAAAGAACACTAAATTATATACTTTTGAGAATCAGAGTTGCTAGAAAGTTAAAGTCTTTGGAGCAGTCTTATTTTTTATAAAATTTGCTATCAGAAAAAAATATCAAGATATTTCTAGATTTAGATGGGACCCCTGTAAGATCATGAGAGTACACTATATTGTTACTTCTTCGATTATCTGGAAAGTTAAAAAGCTCCTTCTATAGGAATATCACCAGTCTTCCTCATTAAAATTTAGCACATTTGTCTCTGAAGCAATATTAGAGCAAAGGCACCCAGACGATTAAATAGCTAGGAAATAATTTATTTTAGTTTCATATTTGGCTTATTGAGTGACCTTTAAATAATCACCAATTTGCTCTGATGCATTCAAAGCAATTCTTTTCTTTTTATATTGTTTTAGTTGTAGATGGACACAATATCTTTAGTTATTTTTATGTGACACTGAGGATCAAACCCAGGTCCTCACATGTGCAAGGCAGGTGCTATACCACTGAGCTACAGCTACATCCCAATGCAAAGCAATTTTAATCAGAAAATATCTGTTTTTTAATCCTGTGTCTAAGATAGACACACAAAAAACATCATTATCACGGCCCCTGGATGTGCAGAATCGACAACTGAAGTTCCGTGGGCAAGAGCACGTAAGCGAGTAGGAACCGCGCCGCGTGCAGCAGGCCACACCCTGACTTCCACGTCAGACACTCCCCAGGGACCCGACAGGAACACATGAGGTGGAAGCCTTGTGCACCATGCTGCAGGGCTGAGCGCTCCCCACACATGCCACCTGAAGGGGCTGCCCACAGTGGCCAGCACTTGCCAGTCCCCTCTCCACCAGCACACCACCCTGCTCTCAGCACAATACCTCCGGCTCCAGCAACAGCTCTGGAACAGACCTGAATCGTCCACCTCCTAATGTACCTTGTAGAATCTAGATTGCTCCCCAATTCCAGAGCCACTTGGGCCTTTGGGCTTCTGGTTCAGTCACTCCAAAGGCTTTTCAGAACCATCTTATTGGTAAGAAGTAACAGAAATTGATTGTCTATCCATGTTTCAGTTGCTAAGAAGAAAAACTATATTGTGAGTCAGAGTTCTGGAAATGAAGAGAAAAAGCAACTCTCCTGTTTTCCTCCTAGAAATACAACCAGGGCAAAATAGCTACTATTTTCATTGTAAAAAACAAATATTTTTGCTATAAAAATTAACAAAAGGGCTGGGTTTATGGCTCAGAGGTAGAGCACTCACCTACCATATGTGAAGCCCCAGGTTCAATCCTCAGCACCACATATAAATAAATAAATATTTTTTTAAAAAAATCCACACTAACAATAACCAGTTTTGTACACATAATGTTTCCAATTTTTCCTATGCAACTATTTAGGAATATAATTTAAAATCTTTAATGGAAACAAGCCATTATTTGTTTTATAATTTTAAAAAATTGGTCTTTTGTACCCCCACTGGCCTCACCTGCAGTGTGCACGCTCAGACTCCCACACAAACTGCGGATGCCACGGTTTGACACAAAACCTAGCTCACAGCAGCTGTGGGAAGTCTCTAGGGTGTGAGCTGCTGCTCCCGGGGCAAGGGCTGGGGCCCGGGCCTAGCACCCCGAGGGAGGACAGTGCTGCCCAGGTTGCGAGGCAGAGACAGACTCCTGGCTCCAGGTCAGCCCTGTTGAAGGCGTGCCACTTCTGCACCCATGTGCAGCTGAAAACCCACGCCTCCTCCCACCTGAGTCACTGAGTCACTCCGTTCCAGTGAGCCACACACACTGCTTACAGCCACCGTGGAAATGAGCACCAGCCCCTCCCCAAGGGAAGACGCTCCTGTCATGAGGTCCCAGCAGGTCGTGGCCACAGGACACACAGAGCCCTTCCACTGGCTCTCCTCAGGGCATGTGTGCCCCTGGCATGTCCCTCACCCACCTAAGTCCCCACACAGTGGACTGGGCTTAAAACTACCCAAATACATTTATTACAGAGACACAGAGGGAAACACATGGCACGAGTAGGTGAGCGGAAAACACAGACGACTATGTGAAAGCACATGGTTCTGAAACCCAGCGCCACTGGTGTGAGCCAGGAGCACACCCAGGATCTGGGCCGGCCTGCCCCTCCTACGGCAACACAGCGCAGTCTCTTCACAAGTGCCTGCCTGCGCCTGGCCAAGGCTGGGGAGCACTGCATCTCACTTCCCCACAGAACACGCACAGGGCCAAAGCCACACGAGGGGAGGGACGGCTGGCTCAGTCTGCAAAGCAGGAGCACCCTGCAGAAAGAGACACTGGCCGAAAGAACCCGAGATCAGTGCGGAGCTTCACACTGGGCGGAACAGTTTCTGTGGTCAGATGCATTTGCTGCAGCACACACTGGATCCCTTTCTGACGTGACACCACCAGGAAGCACAGGGGGTTGCAGAAGTTTAAGAACACACCAATAAACACGGGTGAAGCAAGATGCAGAATATAAAAATCTGAAAACCTTATAATCCGATTTAAAAATGGGCAAATGCTCTAAAGACCCTTCTTAAAAAAATACAAATAACCAACAAAAAGAAAGATTAAAAGATCTATGAAAGATTCTCATTATTATTAGCCATTAGTGAAATACAACTCAAAATTAAAACTATAATTATATACTATCCCATTCCAATTAGAACACTATTATCAAAACATAAACTAACAAAGGTCAATGAAGACATGAAGCAAAGGGCCCTGTGCACTGCTGGGCGGGCAGGTGGGGCCTCCAGACTGAGACTGGACTGGCACACGGCACAGCAGCCCAGAAGGCACTTGGCTCACAAGAAAGATGCCCGCATGCCCAGGGACATGGGGCCGCTGCTGCCAGTAGCCAGGATATGGAACCAGCCCAAGTGCCCATTGACCAATTGATGGAAAAAGAAAATGTGGCATATATACAGAATGGAGTATCATTCGGCCATAAAGAAGAAGAGATCCTGTCATTTGCAGGAAAATGGATGGAACTGGAGGACATTATATCAAGTGAAATGATCCAGAGGCACAAATCCAAATACTGCCTATTCTGACACATAGAAGTTTAAAGAAAAGTTGACCTAAATGTACAAAAATGTTGCTGGCATTTGGAAAGAAGCAGGTGAGGAGGGTGGATAATGGAGGCTGGATTTGATCATGTGTTTAAATCCCACACTAACCCTCACCAAAATGTACAGCTAACACATGCTAGTAAGCAATCAGTGTTCTGAAGCATTTCTGTAAACATAATTGCCCAAATGCAAATACAATGCAAATTAAAACGATGTTCATTTTGATAGCCCATACCCTCTTCCCATCATGGCCCAGCCCTGCAAAGAGCCTAGGAGGACCCAGCTCTTCTTTCTGCACACCCAATCATGAGTCAGAGTAAGGGTCAGGGCTTGGCCCTGCTGGGCAGAAGGGACCTCCAAATCAAGCAGCCACTGAAAACAGCAGTGGCTCTTCAGCTGCTAGTTTCATGCACTCCAGTCTTGGATGCTCGTCAGGATTAATCATCAGCTACAGCTCTCTTCTAAAACTAAATTTTAACAAAACATAAATATTTAGAATTGTCAAGGTGGTAAGAAGAGCAGTGTGTCTGAAAATCAACACCAAAAGAATCTGACTAAAAGGATACCTACAAATAGTACAGCTAGAGACCCATGTCTGCATACACACTAACCTACGCATACAAGGTCTCTGTTATGGTTCAAGTGTGAGGCGTCCTGCTAACGCGGGCGTGTTCGGAGGTGAAATGATTGGACGGTGAGAGCTGACACCTGAATGGACGACTTGGAATGGACTGACTGGGGGTGACTGGGGCAGGTGGAGTGTGGCAGGAGGAGTGGGTTGTGGGGTGTGCCCTAGCAGAGCTGCCCTTCCTGCAGCCCCTTCCTGCCTCTCCTCTCTCCCTCTTGACCATGCCATGAGCTGAGCAGCCGTCCTCCACTGGGCCCTTGCCCCTGATATCCCGCCTCACCTTAGGACCACAACAATGGACTTGGCCATCTGTGAAACCCTACACCCCAATACACTTTTCCTCCTCTTAGTTGTTTTTATCAGGTACTTGGTCAGAGATGGAAAAGCTGACAAAAACAGTCTTATACCTGTTTGAGAAAAATCAGATAGAGCATTTAAACATCTAAGTTATTTAAATTTACTTGGAAGGCATTCACTGACTTTCATACCGTTTGCAATTGATCTTGCATTTTGAAGATCTTTTACCATCTTTCTTGATGTTAGTCTTTGGTGAAAACATAGTGACACTGTGGAAAGAAAATGCTTACATGTCACTTTCAGAGATTAAATTTCTTAAGAGATCTACATATTACAGGAGAAGGAATATGTACACACCTGCATGAATAGTTTCAGCTGCCTCCTGCTCCTCCTTCCTCCATCTGTCCCTCTATCCCACACCTCAGAGATGTCACCATGCTGCACATCTCCAAAACTTTCTAATATCCTGCAATGCTACCCTGAAATTCTCCTGTTAGGTTTCAAATTGCAGCAAGGCACTAAGGACACCATGACCTGGGACCTGCGTCTTTCCCCTGGGCTCCAGCACACCGTCCCACATCCACAGCATGCCTCAAAACAGTGGCCCAAGGAGTCCACATTCAATGTCACAGATGCCACAGGCACTGAGGCACCCACAGGTTAGGGATATGGACTGATGCATAATTTTGCTGAGACACAAATCTAGAATCCATCCAACCATCCATCCAACCATTCACTCTTCCCTCCATGCGTCCATCTCTCCATTCATCAACCCCTCTATCCAATCATCTCTCCATCCATCTTCCATTTTTCCATCCATCCATTCATATCTCCATCTATCCACAGTCCCTTCCTATCCATCCCTCCACCTATCAGTCATCCCTTTCTCCATCCTCATTCATCTCTCTACCCATCCATCCACATCTCCACCCATCCACCGTACATTTCTCCACCTACCCACCCACTGATCCATATGTCCAGCCATCTGTAATCCTCTCTCCAACCCTCCAACCATCCATTTATCATCCTTCTCTCCACCTATCCACATCTCTATCTAGCCTTCTCTCCATCCCTCTCCATATCTTCACCCATCCATTTCTCTACCCAGATGCCTGTCTCTCCATCTTTACCTCCATCCATCCACCACTCACCCATTTACAAGTGTCACATAAGAGAATCTGAGGTGCCAAGTGTCACCCCAAGCACAGGGGTCTGCAGATCAGACACTAAGTGAAACAGTTGTGCCTGCTACTGGTGAGGCCAAAGAGAAAGAGTGATGCAGGAAAGGGCCATGGCAGTGGAAGAGACTGAGACCAGAGAAGCTTGGCACTTTGGCCCAGACGAAGCCTGAGCAGGGCCCTGGGGATGGAGGTGGACTTGGAGAGAGACTGGAGGGAGCGGGGAGGCGAGGGCAGCAGTCTGGCAAGGCAGGGGCGCTCAGCCGAGGCCTGCCATGTGCTCTAAGCAAAGGGGCCGTATAGGGTGCTTCCAGGTAACAGGGCTGCTCTGGTCACTATGTGAAGGACAAATAAAGGGTCCCGACTTGGCAGGGGGTGTCTACATTCAATAAAGAAAGACAATTTGCCTTTGAGAAATTCAAGGCTTATGAGGGGCCAGGGGATCTCGACACTCAGCTGTAGTCTAGGTATCCTGTGTTTCGCATTTCCTTGACTGTGAACCTCACATAGTCAGCACCTCTCCCTTCGGCTTTGAACAACCTGAATCTCAGTGCTCCAGTGCTGCAGTTCTAAAAAAGGCCCTGTCAGCCGTGGTGGGCCACACCATTCCCAGCACCCCACTCCTCCTGTTCCCATCCTAGCTTCTCACTCACCAGAGTGGGTGGGCTTAGGAGGGGCCCAGTACACTGTAGTGACCCAATAAACCTCTGCTGCTGCAGTGCCCCCCACTGCAGGGACAGACATTCTGGGGTCTCCGCCACCACATCACAGCTCCTGCTTAGAACCCTGCCCCTCTCCATGATGGGACCCTCAAGGACCCATCTGTGTCCATATTTGAACCCACGTCTGAGGCAGGGCCACGGCTTTGCTCTGTACTCACCGCGGTGGCAATGCGTAACCGGACGACCTGACTTTGGTGTGGAAAACCAAGGGCTGGTCCCCCACGGCACTCTGCACAGCTGTGGGAAGACATTAGAGAAGCAGCAGATATTTAATGTCACGACTCACTGTGAACACAGAAAGAGCACAGTCTCTTAAAACAGAGAAGTCCACACAGACCAGAGGAGCTTCTGACCTACAGTCGAGAGGCCCCATGGTGAAGTGCAGGCCCACACAGCAGCCAGAGAAGACTAACCATGGGAATGAGAAGCATAAGGACAGTTCCCTCTCATTCCTTAAATTGCACTCAGTTGCATGGGCAGAACACAGTGCCCTTCAAAGGTGCCCTTCAAACGCTCGTGGACGATGCCAGCTCTTCTGTGCTGTGCTGCTTCCAGTCGTGGCTGGAGCACAGGTGGGAAGGAAGCCCTGGGGCTGCGGGCAGGGTAGGAGACTGCCTGGGAGCAGTGTCTGGGAGCAGCATCTGTCCATCAGTGACAAGCACGGCCTTCCTACTAAGGACCCAGACGCACACAGCCTCTCTAGGAGAAGGACACAGCTGCTTGCTGTGTCCATGCACAGAGCACCAAGGAAGCCTGGCTACGGCGACACCTGGTGCCTTCTAACAGAAGTGGAACTCCTCACCAAGCTCTAACACACACACACGCACACACACACACACACACAGACACAGACACACACAGACACACACGCACAGACACACAGACACACACGCACAGACACACACACACAGACACAGACACACATAGATACACACACAGAGACACTCACACACACAGACACTCACACACACACGCAGACACTCACACACACACGCAGACACAGACACACACACACAGACACACGCACATGCACACACACACAGAGGCACACGCACAGATACACACAGACAACCTCTCCGTGCTTCACAAAAAACCCAGCAACACATGAACTTACCACAAATACTTGCAAACCTCAAAAATGCTCTCAGATGAAAAACAATTTTGCCAGAACTATTTACTTTTGCGTAAATTTAATCCTTGATATTAAAGATAATTTTTTTTTAAATATTTTTTTTGGTTGTAGATGGACACAATATCTTTATTTATTTATTTTTACGTGGTGCTGAGGATGGAACCCAGTGCCTCACATGTGCGAGGCGGGCACTCTGCCACTGAGCTATAGCCCCAGCCTCTAAAGATAAATATTTTGCACAAATTATAAAATAGCTTCAGAAAAATGGATAAATGCATAATATTAAGTGATAGGTGTTTTTTGTTTTGCTTTGCTTTGTTTTACAAAGAAATTCAGTTCTGTTTCTGGTACTATTTCAAACATGACACCCCAAATGATGCCCCATTGAAACCAAGCACACCTAATGAGTGAACTCTTCAGACATGGCAGGGGACTGCCCACCGTAGAGGAAAGTCGTGTAATGACTTCCTACTCTTCAGAACAGGGAGCTCCAGTGGCAGAGCTCCCAGAAACACCAAGGAGGTGGGTGTCCACCACAGCCAGGCCTGGGGCACACATGGGCACAGCCAAGGTCAGAAGGCAGGCACAGGGACAGCTTCCTGCAAGGGGAGGGTACAGTGCGAGCCAGCTCTGCGGTGTCTGTGAGCAGAATATAAAAATGGTTTGTTTGAGGGCCTGAATTGTTTTAAGCAGGCCAAGTAAGACGTTTAACACTACTGAGTTAAGAGTTCAGATTGAACATTGAAGGGAAAAAAAGAAGCAAATATCAGTGATTCCTACACAGTGGGTACTGGGACACAAGGAAGCCTGCCTCTCAAATGAAAGCAACTTTCAGATCTTTTCTTGGAAAAAAAGCAACAAGTAGGTTGTTAAGAACAAAGGCATAAAAAAGCATTTTTTAGACAATCAAGAATAATGAATCATGGTATGGCCAATACAAGAGACCAAGGATCACAGTTTCTTTGGATAGAACTACATCATGGTTGGTTGTCTGGGAAACACATGCTGGAGTACGCAGGGTGGATTAGCAGGACGTGTGGTCACTGGGGACCCTCCACGTGCACCCAGCCCTGGCCACAGACACAACCACCGGTGTGAAGCCAGCCTCTGAATGCCTGTGAAGGACCCCAGCTCAGGAAGAGACACCGCACACCTGCCCAGCCACAGAGGGTGTGCAGTCCACTCCAGAGAGGCAGGGCAGCAGCAGAGGCAGGACAGCACAGTGACTGGCATGTTGAGAGGCAGAACTCACAGAGCACTTCCCAGTGCTGCCTACAACAGGAACTAGTCAGCTTTGCACTTTTATGTTTTAGAGTGTATTCTACTAACCAGATTGTTTGTGACCAGCAGGTTTAGTACTTTTCCCCTTAACAACTCCAAGATACAGGGGAGAAGTTGGTAGAACACAGGAGCTGAAACAAAAATAAAGCCAGGCTATAAAGCAAACAAGGATAAAATGGAATTGCTCAATGGAACACACACGATAAGTATGGTAACAAATGATTAATTCACACAGACAAGGACACACAATATTTAGAAATAAAAACTACAATATTTGGAAATAAAAACTATTAAGCTTATTCTTGTTCTGAAAGGAAAATTCAGTATATTTTAATAAATGTGCTATCTTATAATCTGCATTCTATTCTGAAATAAAATAGTATTTTGTGTTAAACAATGACTCCCTTCATTTTCAATAAGATAAAAGAAGCAATGGTATGAACAATAATTCCTTTCACATAGGGTTAGAATGGCTGAGTATTTACTGAATCTTACCTTTATTTCTTAACATAAAAAGAAATCTAGTTAGGCATTGTGGTACACATCTGTCATCCCAGTGGCTTGGGAGGCTGAGGCAGGTGGATTGCAAGTTGGAGGCTAGCCTCTGCAACTTAACAATACCCTAAGCAAGTTAGTGAGAACCTGTCTCAAAATAAAAAAGAAAAAGGCTAGGGACGTGGCTCAGTGATTAAGCACCCCTGGCTTTAATCCCTGGTACCAAAAAGAAAAAAATCTGAAAAATGCTCACTGATCAACACAATCAACACCCACATGGGGACATCGCCCTCGAGCAGACTGTACCTCGCCAGCACTGACAGTGCCTTCTCAGGGACAGGGCCCTGCTGGGACCTCACCAGAGTATCCAGGCTGATTTCCAGTATGGCAATTCTCTTCCCAAACATGGACGTGAGCAGGCAAAAGGCCTATGAAGGACAGCATTGTGACACAGTTAATGACATGGCCAGACACTAAGGAGACCGCAGGTCTACATCCACAGCCCTCCTCACAGCACGGCTTTCCACGTCAAGCCTGCCGCACGTGGGCCAAGCTGTGCCATTCGACAGGTGCGTGCAGCTGCACAGCATGCACAACTCGGGGCAGTCTCTGTGCCATGCCAGCTGGCAGTGCTGCGGGAGATGCGCCTGGCAGGAGCAGGGGGCGAGACCTCCACTGACCTTGTGGTCAGCAGCCTGGCTCGTCACAGCGCAGGAACCAGCCACCTGGACGCTGAGGCACCTGAAGTCTTGACATGCAGCAGAGACAAGGAGACAATGTTAGGTGGCAAGCCAGGGAACCGAGCCTGGCAGACCCATCCATTCCACCTGGTTACCTGCACCAGTAGCCAGGGACATGGCCAGGGAGGAGATGGGCCTCCCTGTCATGAGGCCCAGAACCAGACACTGGGCAGGAGGTGACAAACGTGAAGCCGCAACAGGCTGTGCGAGTGTTGGAGAGAGAGGAGAAGGGAGCTTCCAGTGAGGACCCACCTCCCAGGACTGAGCAAGTGGCCCTGATGCTGAACAGCAGGGGCGGGACGGGGGCAAGGTCAGTGGAGAAGAGGCCTGAACTGGTCCACTCGCCCTGCAGTCTGGAGGACTCAGAGGACAGAAGGAAAGCCGTGACCTTGGGGCACCCGACGAGAACCAGGGGCCCTGGAGGACCGAGAATGGGATGTGGCCCAGCAGAGGAATGCGACTCCACCCTGAACGCCTCGGAAGCCTCAGAAGGACCAACCCAAGTGAGCCTCGAAGAAGAGGCTCTAAGCTCTTGGCTCCAGTGCAGAGGAGAGAGTGGCCAGGGTGGACACCTTGCAGATAGGTGGAGGCCAGGACCGGGTAAGTGCCACTGCTTCCTGCTGGGCACAGAAACCCGAGAGTGACCGAGAGCCAGGAAGGACAGGGCCTCAGGTCAGGGTGACAACACATGGAGACGGGGGTCTGTGAGCTGGCAGTACTCAGGGCATGTGTGTGCAGGGAGAGGGGGTGCACAGGAGCCTGGTGCATGTGAAGAAGAGGGCCGGGACACGGCACAGAGGGGTGCAGAAAGGCTGAGCAACACAGGGAAGGGGCTGTGGGGGGGGGATGCACACCACAGGTGCTGGTTCTGCCAGACGGTCGGGAAATGCAGGACTGAAACAGTGTCCTTTGGGTTAGAAACACAGAAGTCACAGGTAAGGAGCCACGTTGCTTCTGATAAAAGTGACCTTCAAACCTGAGCGGTAGGCTTGCACCCCTAAACTTTCACCACCCCTCATGTCATTCCAAGAAACCCTCAAGTGTAAGAGACCATGTCAGAGAAGACTGAACTCTGTCTCACCTTTGAAGTGTAATGCGTGCTCCAGTTCCAAGCTTGCCAGGTGGAATATGAACAGACCAGTTGAACTTGCAATCCACAAGCAGGTGCTGCTCTCAGAAGGAAGGCTGCTTTAAGGCAAGAGGAACATCGTCAGCAGAACTTCTCCCTCAAGATTAGCTCCACATGTTCCTGGTGTTGCTGCCCTTTCTCCACACATGGGGGCAGCACGTGCCCCCTGCAGGCACCCAGAAGGTGTGTGCACCGGCACTGCAGTCGGTGGGCTCGTCCTATTCCTACCTGCACCTTAAAATCTGTGGGGTTGATGGCCACCCACCGGCCATCTCCTAGAGGCAAGTGACCCCAGGTGGCCACAGGCTGGCCCCACCTAAGTCTGATCCTCATTACAGGAGGAGGCAAGTTCAGAGAGGAGACCAACTGCCCTGAGTGCAGAGCTCGCAGGCCGAGTGTGAACCCCAGTCAGAGCCCCCCTGGTCTCCCACTGTCAGGGCGCAGCCCAGCTCCTGGCTTCACTGCTGAAGCAGTCTGCCCTCCCACCCCAGGTTCCTGCTCCACACCGTCCAGACCCTCAGGTCCTGCAAACAGCATGAGGTGGGGTGCTCCCGCTTTGCCCTGCCCTGCAGGTGCTCCCCTTCTCTGAGGAGGACAGGAGGAACCCTCTGCCTCTGGTCCAGAAACTAAGACTGGAACACAAGGTCAGCCTGCCTTCCTGAGCCTGCTGGTCCCAATGGATGAGGCCCGCAGGGAGTTCTGGACTCCTAGGACCAAGGCCATTGGGCCAGCTGCCCACCTCTCGTCTCCCACTCCATCCAGAGGAGACAGGAGGCTTGTCTTCTGTGGGATTCGTCATCTCTAAGCTATCTCACACGGTCTTAGGGGAGAGGTGAATACAGCTATTACATATCATTTAGTCACTGACGAGGCCTCCACATGTCGCTCTCTGGCACAGAGATAAATAAGTGAAATTCACAGGGGATTACTTTTAAATGTATAATACATGGCACACGTGGAGGGAAAGGAGAAGTCAGAATGAGTTATGATTACCATGCCTCGTTCTAAGGAAAAGTGCCCTTACAGAGGTAAAGATTTGCCTAGATTTTGGTGAGCAGAATTGAAACCATCTAATTTCTTTTATTCAAGAGGCTTAAATCAAACCAAATTTACCAATTCTTAGAAATGAAATATGCAATTCTAAGAGAGCTTGCACCCAATCAGAGGCAAAAGTGATCTGGCTTTGTTCTATTTATTCTTCAAAACTAAACATAACATGCAATTAAGGAATTTGTGTGTGGGAGGTGCTGGGATGGAACCCAAGGTTGTGCACAGGCTAGGCCAGTGCTCTACTGGCCAGCCACACCCCAGACCCTTTCTTTTTTCTTCTTTTATTGTGAGATGGAGTCTCACTAAGTTCCCAGCCTGGATTCAAACTTGCAATCCTCCTGCCTCAGCTTGCTGCATAGTTGGAACTGCCGTGTGCAGCACCCTGCCCTGTTCACCTGAGGGATACAAAGGTTTCTCTTCATGATTTTGGCCCAGCTTGCCATACATACACTCCACATCCAGCATCTAGAAGGCGTGGAAGGTAGCAGCCTGCCAGCATCAGGATGGGGAGGGCTGCTTCAGCCTCTTCTCCTTGGTCCAGCATCTTCCTAGAGGGGCGCTGACTCTCCTCTAGGGAACAGAATCATGGATCTGAAATTAGGCTTATCGACCAAGTTGAAAGGCAGACAGCTGACTTAGTGGGAGGTTGCCACAGGTATGAATTGCTAGAATACCTCAAATCAAGAATCAGAGAAATCATTCTACGTATCATTAAAAAAAAAAAAAAAAAAACAAAAACATTGTGTCTTCCATCCTGAAGTCTGTGAACAATGAAATTTCAAACATAGAACCCAAAAAAAGGAGTGGAGAAGAAGAAATGGTCGACATGGAAGCTAATTTCACATTTCCCAAGACAATCTTAGGATTTACCTCTAGAATAAGAGTATATTATTTATAAGACAAATAATGAAGGCAGGGTTTAAAAAATACTTTTATTGGAAAGGTAATTTCTGACCTGATACATAAAGAAACAGTGTACAGCCACCTACAAAAATCTCAGAGGAAAAGAAGAGTAGCGACAAGAATCCCTGCACAGACCAGGTCTGTGAAAATGAGAGCTTAGCCACACAGGGACACAGGGCTCCCAGCAGAGCGTGGCGGAGGGACAGTGCTCTGGGGACAGGGTGGGGAGAGCTCAGCATGGCAGGACAAGAGAAGGCCTGCGGGTGGCAGGAGGGTGAGGTGGAGGTGGAGGTGCATGTGACTCGGGGGGCAGGGAACACCGCACTCTGCTCAGATCACCATTCTGAATCCTCAAAGGCCTGTGCCCACTGGTCCCCACTTCCGCGATCAACTCTGTGGCTTACGTCCCTCTGTTCAATTCCCCCGCAACCCCCACACACAATTGCGCCATTGTTGGCGCAGAGCAGCCCCAACTCTGTCTCACGGGGCCTTCCAGGGCTGAGGTGTCTTCCAAAGTCAAGGAAGGCTTCTCCTTTCCTTGACACCCCCTACCCCGTCCGACCCGGAAAGCAGGAGACCCAAGGAACACACACACCTGTCAGGCTGCACACCTCAGACTCCATCCTTCGGGCGAAGAAAGCCTTGTTTTTCTTCCTTAGGTCAACCCGTGCCACACACCGGTAATGGTGCCTTTCTATCAAACTGAAGACCCAAAGCTGAGAAAGCAAAACAGGTAGACAGGAGTCTCTCTCAACACTGGTGCTTACGAAAAGAGTGAACACCTAAAGAGGAGAGTGGGTCAAGAGCAAAGAAGTTGTGCCCTTCATCTTCCCTCAGTGATGCAACTGAATGTCCTCTGGTCCCCAGGGGCACTCCCAGGTCCCTTCCCCCATGGACGCCAGTCTCAGTGTACCTGCTTGTGATGGGCAGTCAGTCCCAAACACTGAGGTCAGGTCAGACACCACCTCAGCTGTATGTGTCCACGTGGGGCACTGCTCCACCTATGAGGTCCCCATGGCCTACACCCAGTCTCCCCTCCAGGCCACACCAGGGCCTCAAAGCCATGAGCATTCTGACCACACCACTGGCAATGAGACCTGGTTAACAGCAGTCAACTTTGTCAAAAAGAAAATAAATTCATAACCCCCACAAAAAAAGAAATAAAAAAACAATAAACTCTATTAGCTTCCAAAAGCATATCTTTCTCATATTGTATCAACAACGACTTTACCCATGCTTTGTGAAATAAACCTAAAATGCTCACATAAAAACTTTTTTGAAACAGATTAAGTATGATATCAGTCAGCTTCTGGTTGCTGTGACCAAAGGACATGACAAGAACAACTTGGAGAAGGAAAAGTCTACTTTGGCTCCTGGTTTCACAGGTTCAGTCCAAGGTCAGCCTCCTCATAGCTCTGACCGACAGGTGAGAAACAGCAGCTGGTGGAAGGACCTGGTGAAGACAGTCAGGAAGCAGAGAGAGCTTGGGCAAAGACCAGGGGTAACATAATTCCTAAGGGCACGCCACCAGGGATCTACTTCCTTCAGCCCCACCCTCCGTTCAAATGATTAACCTGTCGAAAAGATCCATCCACTGATGAGATCACATTTCTCAGAATCTAATCTTTTCACCTTTGAACATTCCTGCATTGTCTCACCCATGAAGTTTGGGAAACATGTAGTATCCAAACCATAATATTCTGCCTCTGGTCTCCAAAATCTCATGCTCCTCTTACAATGAAAAACTATATTCAGTTCATTTTCATGAGACTCCATAGTCTTCAAAGTTCCAGCATTGCCCAAAAGTCTGAATCCCAAGTCTTATCTGAGACTCAAGGCAAACTCAGCATGAGTTCCTGCAAAGATCAAACAGCAAATTATATCTAGCCGATATATGAGGCACAGAATAAACATTTCCATTCCACATGGAAAAAGAGGTGAATAGAAATAATGAGTGGGACAAAAGCAAGACCAAACAAGGTCTAAGTCCCACAGCTAGCATCCGGGACATGTGACATCCTGATGTTCTCTCCAGAGGGCTTACATAGCTCGGCCCTAGGCCCTTGCTGATTGCAGCCCACATGGCCTCTCTTGCCTTTCTTGGCTTGGTGTCTGCAACTTTGCTCAGTAGACATTCCATATTAATAGCATCTCTTAGTCTCAGGTGTCTTCACGGCAGCTGCGGCTTCCTGCTCACATAACACAGCACTTTGGGGGTAGCCCATTGGAACTCTGACCCTGCTATATATTGCCTGGCCTCCCAAACCATGAGCCAAAATAAACTTTCCTCCTCTAAGTGTTTGTGTCAGGTCTTTTTGACACAGCAACCAAAGGCTGACTAATACAATAATAAACTGTTTCAAAAAGTTTTTATACGAGCATTTTAGGTTTACTTCACCAAGTACTGAATATGGGTTTCCTTTGAAGTCTCCAAGACCCCACACTTGAGTGTCCTGAATTCCTGCAGAATGAGCATCACCTGGATGATACCAAGGTCTGCTGATATCTGAAGCAGCAGCCGGGCTCCTGGGACCACAGCTGCAGTGCCTTCTGAGTGCATGGAGGACTGAACAGAGCTGAAACAACTACTTAGGTGCCCCTATATAAGCAGGATTCCCATGGTCTCTTCTCAAAGGGATTTTTATGTTTACACCTTTGATTCTGAGATAGGTGTAATCTTGCCAATTCCTTTGAGACCTTCAAACTGTCTTTCCTATTGTGTAAAGTACTTAGCATCTCTTTAGCAGCTTTAATCTCTTCAACAACCATAACTTCCTTCACCCAAGTTTCACATGCACTTTTCGGGCCAAATTTTAAATTTTTTCAATCATTCCACTCCACTTTCTACTCCTGATTCTCACAGCAAACTTAATTAAACTGCCAGCAATATCCATACCACCATCTGAATGCTGTGCTGACGTGAAATTTCCTCTACCATACTAATTAATCCATTAGTCCATCACTAATTTATCATTAAATTTAGCCTCAAAGAAAGTCTCAGGACATGGGGGAAATGTCATAAATGGCCTCTAGTCCTATTTCCAATAGAGTCCTCCTCCCCTTCTGGAACCTCAGGATCACAATCTTTACTGTTCACAGTCCTATTGGCATTCTAGTCTTCTGAGCTTCCACAAGAAATGACCATTAAGCTCTGCTTAAACATTCTAAGGTTTCTCCAGTCTGCATCTCCAAACTTTTCCAAACTCTTCCCACAAACCAGTTCCTAATGCCTCTGAACCACATCACAGCAACAACCCCACTCCCAGTACCAATTTCTGCATTATCAACTCTTTGTCACTGTGACCAAAATACCTGACAAAAACAACTTAGAGGAGGAAAAGTGTATTTCAGCTCATGGTTTCAGAGGTTCAGTCCATGGTCCGTCAATTCCATAAGCTCTGGACCTAAGGGGGAAGAGCATCACGGCAGAAGGACATGGCAGAGGAGAGCTGCTCCGTCTTCTACAGCCAGAAAGCAGAGAGAGCTTGAGTGCGAGGAACCAGTAATAGCATAATTAACCAGGGCAGGGCATCTACTTCCTTTCGTCACACCCTATCTGCCCACAGTTGCCCATTAGTCCATTCAAATGACTAATCCACCAAATGAGTCAATCTACCAATGAGCTTTCACGATCTAATAATCTCACCTCCAAGCAAGCTTGCTTTGCCTCATGGTAAGCTTTCAGGAGACACCTCATATCCAACCAAATATCTGCAGTTTCCAAAAACTCTATGATGCTGTTGCTAATGGTCACATGAGTGTTTCTCATTGTCTGTTATACTCCAGAGTCACATGTGGCGCTTGCAAAGCACGCAGATTTATCCATCTTCTCTGCAGACCCATGGGCCCAGGCATGGACTAAAATCCCCTTTGCTCTACCATGAGCTGACTTGCACAAAGAGTCCCCATCCCAGGACTGAGGGTGAACAGTTTCTTCAAATCACAAAAAATTCACAATAATAAGGAAGCAAAGACCTTTTGTACACAGGTTCACTTGCAGCAATATCGGAAGGTAGGCTCTAACTACACGGCTCTCTCACCTGGCCATCAGCACACCCTGTGAGAAGCTGCTTACTGTCCTCATCGATGAACAAACTCAGGAGAGGATATGCTGTGGGAAGGAGCACAAATGTAGTTGAGAAACTGAGGTGACCTTTGTTCTTAGAAAACCCACAGAGTGTCCCTAGGCACCTAGCTATTGTGCTGAGTCATTTGTCCGTGAATAACAGGAGAAGTCTGTACAGCCAGACATCCCTGACTGCAGTGCCAGATGTCCTAGACTCAGCAATGAAGTTCCTGGAAAGACCAAAGAATGCTTGAGGCCTAAGTTCTGACCTAATGACCCCCAGCAACAACCAATCAGCATGAGACAAGGAAGATATCTGGAATGTCAGGATTGATTGATAACATTGATTGATAACATGATTAGGAAACCCTGCAGTTTAGCAAATACACTCTTGCAACCCCTCTCAGCCTAAACCAATCAGTTCAAACGTATCCACCACTTGAACCAACCAATCACCCTTCCCGACTTGTTCCCGCCAATGAACAGGCTAATCAACGTTAAGAGTTGTGCTTGATTTCCCCACGATGTGAAATGATTTGCTGTGTGATGTTGTGATGCATAGAGTATCCCCCAAACCTATAAATCCTCACTGAACTAAGGGCCCGGACTCATTCCTCGGGACCACTGCGTCGGAAACGGTTGTGAGTCCAGGCTTGAGCTTGTAATAAAGACTCTTGTGTGACTGCATCAGATTCAGCTCCTGGATCACAATCCCCCCTGCTCTGGAGGTCTACTGGGGTCCCACAGATCTGGTTTAACATAGTCAGCACCCCAACGCCTGGCTCCATCAAGCTGGACCTGAGGCTCCCTGACAGCACTCCTGTCAGACACTCTCAGCTCTTCTGAAATAACTTCCTCGCCAAGGTCTAAGAACTGTGAGTGAATACAAAGCTTGAAAACTACACAAGCATAAGGAAAGACAGGGAAGTAATCCCAAATTAAAACCATGGGGTGGCTATGAGTTAGCTGGCTACAGGCAGAACCAAAAGTATTGCTTCTCTTCCGCCTGCACAAAGCCTGCTGTGCCAAAGCACATCCGCTGCACCCATCCAACAGCTGTGGGTGGGAGCAGGCCCAGGAGCTCCGTCAGCAGGTCTCATGGGGCAGAGCAATCCTCTGTCAGCCAGGAGTAACTAAGTGACTTGAGATAAAAAGAGCAACTAAATGGATGTCTTGTTTCTTTAAAAATTGTTGCCTAGAATCATTTCCTTCAATAATTTAGGAGAACTAGATAAATGATATTAGAAAACACTCTATGTCCTAAGTAAGCTTTGACATCCAAGATCAAGAATCAGGAATGCCCTGGATGCAGACACCTCTAAGTCCTGCTGCCCCAGGGGCACTGAACAATTACTGCATTCCACAGAACTTGGGCTTCACCCACCTGGGATGAGGGTGGCTCCAGGAACAGGCGTCACCAGGTGGGGCTGAGCTACACTCCCCTGTTCCTTTGCAACCCTACCCCTTTGCCCTTTTGGGGATGTTCTATGGAACCTCCCCTTGTGTGTCCCCTAAATAAGAATGAAGAATTCCTATGGCTCGCTCTCTCTCCACAGAAACTTAACTTCACAGAGCTGTCCCCGGATTATTGAAAAGGTCCTTCTGTGTGGTTGCTGCTTTCTTGGTTGTTTTCTTGAGTTATTGGAATAGCCAGATTTTGTGAACCCAGCATTAGGTGGCCAGCGGGGATAATGGCGACAGTCAAGGGCAAAACTGTGTTCTTTTTGTTTGTTTGTTTTTATTTTTTATGTGATGTTGAAGATCAAACCCAGTGCCCCACGCATGCCAGGCGAGCACACTACCGCTTGAGCCACATCCCCAGCCCCACAACGGTGTTCTTGATAGTCAAATAGTGACTCCACATAACTCATTTTGAGAAAATCATTCCAACACACTTCCAAGAAATGTGTGTTACCCCTGAGACTGGTAAGTTATTCACACTGTTCTGCACCCTGATAGACAGACCTCGGGGTACACCACAGTCTTTGGGAAATACAAGAGAGGCTCTACCAGGTCACCAGGTACCTGCCCATCTAGGTGGCACTGCAATCCACTGCTCCCCATTCTAGTCTCCCGCTTTCCTTCCTCCAGTGAGATAGACATGCACACAAGGAGCCAAACCAAGCCCCAGGATACCAGCCCAGGAGCTGCTGGGAGACGCAGGTGTGGGCTAGGTGATCCTAGGGCATCACGCACAACAGCCCTCCCATACTGTGAGGAGATCAGACCCCAGAGACATTTCACATTGCCTAACATTCAGGCCCTCGTTGGAGTAATCATGTGTCGGTTTCATGTGCCACCAAAAGACACGATTACCCTGAAATCATGAGCTGTACAGATGCTCCCATCCTAAGTAGTGGGGTGGAGCAGGCCAACCTTCCTCAGCACACTCTGGGCCAACGCAGGTGATACCTGACGAAATCCTCACATCCCAGGCCTTGTCTCTAGGGGACAGTGGAGAGCTCACACTCCCTGCAATCAGGCACTGAATCTGAGAGCCAACGACTGTGCACCTTTCTAAACAGAGAAGTTCAGACTTCAAGTGTGTGTTTAAGTTGAAACTCAAGGACATTAACTGTGAGTGAGTCTGTTCAGTCTGTGGATGGAGAAAGCAGGTCTTTACTCAGGAGGCTGGTGGACTCAGGTCCACCACCTCAGGAGCTGAATGCCTCACAGCCTACTCAGCAAAGCCAGAGGGCTCTTGAACTTACCTGCAAAAACAGATGAGCTGTACACTAATGTTCCCATACAGTGGTCCCAGACCTTTGGACAAACAGACATTTCTTCAGGAAAGGTAAAAATCTTGCCATTACTGCTAAACCTCCAACTAAATTCTACCCAATTACAAATTAATCTATGTAAATAATTATAAAAAATGAAAATATGCAAATAGAACTATAAGTGTATTCAAACCATTAGGTCTCTCTGTTCTGCACCCTGATAGACCGACCTCGGGGTACACCATAGTCTTCAGGAAATACAAGAGAGGCTCTACCAGGTCACCAGGTACCTTCCCATCTAGATGGCACTGCAATTTACTCATCCAAAGTAAATTGTCAAAGGGTGTCAAAACCAAGACACCACTTCAATCATCTCTAACCCACGGGGAGAGGGGACTTCCATCCTCTCTAACCCACGGGGAGAGGGGACTTCCATCCTCTCTAACCCACGGGCAGAGGGGACTTCCATCCTCTCTAACCCACGGGGAGAGGGGACTTCCATCCCCTCTAACCCAGGGGAGAGGGGACTTCAACCGTCTCTAACCCACGGGCAGAGGGGACTGAAGACACAAGCCCAGGACAGGTGGGAAACAAGCCTGCGTGTGCAGCCAACTGCCCTATGGGGGGCATAGGTGGAAGGCAGGAGCCCCTCAGCAGGGCTGCACCTGATGGGCACCCTGTCCACTGAACATGTGATTGAGCACCACACAGTGCGTCCACGGGGTCAGACACTAACCAGCACCTGGGGGAGTGGGCAGTGCGAAGGACAGAGCGGGAGAGGGGACCTGGCCACTCCCTTATCCCCAGTCCTTGGGAGAGATCTGGAGAGTGACCTTGGTTGTGAAGGAAGTCCACCCGCCCAGCCTCTCACACAGCTCCCCCACCTCATAAGCACAGCTCGGCCCCCTGTTGCGTCCCGATGGCCACCTCAGAGGAGTCCTCTGGGTGAGTCCTCTGAGTGCTCTCCCTGAATCTGGTGAACAGTACAGGTGGGGCGTTGGCTGAGCTCAAGTAGGGCAGCATCCAGCGGCAGCTGGTCAGGGGTGCAGCTAGGACGTCTGTCCCCACACCTGCACCAGAGCAGGGGAGAGCAGTGCCCCGTGGTGGTCCACCTCGGCTTCACCACACAGGTGTTCCAAAACGACCAAGGCTGGCACCTAACGAGTCATTTTTCTGATAGATGTCGCGACCCTCAATTTTCCTTCCAAGGCAGTGTATAAAGTCCTCCCTTGGTTAATAAAATCCCAACAATGTCAGCTGACTTGGGCCTGAGGGGACAAACTCGCATTTTCCTCTATTTCCTTTAAACATGGATTAGTTCTCATTGAACACCCCAGTTCTGAACACTGGGTCTTCTGCTCTCAGTCACCAGAAACACTGGATTATAAATTAAGTCTTTAACTCTCAAGGTCGAGGGTCTGAGGAGAGTTCCTGCAGCCAGTCACATCTGTGTGGGAATGCAACAGGCCAAGGAGCAAGCCGCTGGGAATCCCAACCCAGCTCCCAACCCCTGCCAGATTCCTTTTTTGTATGAAAAGTAGAGAAATTCCCATTTCTCTGCTTTCTTATGTAAGCGCACTAGCAACAAGCCACACATGGACAGTGATCGTCAAACAACAACGCACCAATGTGCTCGAGCCTTTGCCCTGTATCAGAAATCAGCCCGGGGCCCACCCTACCTTAAAACTCCTGTCTTCAGACACTGAAATGAGGGTTTGTCCCTGCCAGGGACAAAATTCTGCAGCGGTCACTGGGCCCTGATGGCCCTCCAGTTCCACCAGCACAGATGGACTCTAGGAGAATTGTGAAGAAGATTACTGGAGGGATGTTCTGGAATGAGTATCATCAAGAAGTCATAATATACCACAGAGAGTCGTCCCTGCTGAAACAAGTTCTACTTTACGTGTCCACTCTTCCAACTGTGGAACTAGTCCTGTGTAAGCCTGGAAGTGAGGATCCCAAAGGCTGAGTTCCCGGGGGGCTCAGGCTGGCGCACGTCAGCAGGACTGCAGCAGACGGCAGCCCAGCACCAGGCCCGGTGCCCCATGCCCAGCACCTCTACTGCACCCTCCTGAGGCTGCTTTCTGCTGCCAGAGGCCCCTGGTTCCTGTGGGAGGGTGCCGGGGTGCTCCAGTGTCTTCCTCTGACTTATCTCCCTGTCCCCTCCTCTCTTTCCCCTTCCCTCTCTCCCTGGACACACCCATGATGTCTTCTATTCTCCCAGCCTCTGCTGTCCACGAGGGAGTCACTGAAACACAGCACACAGCACGCAGACTCCCCCCACAGCCCAGCGGCAGCCCAGGGGCCAGCACTAAAGCTCAACTCTGAGATGGCCTGAGAAAGAGGCAGAGAGAGCACCAGGGGCCCCAAGAGCCACAGCCACCTCCCATCATGTGTCCCTTGGGGTCCCAGCACCTGTGGGTGGGGAACTCTCCTCCAACGTTACGGCACTCAATCTAGGCAGGAGAAACAGCCCTGATATTCAGAACACAAATATGTGTACATGCATATAGAGAGAGACTTAACTTGCAGACAATGAACTTTAAGAACTTTCCTCAATAATTCAGCAGACAACCTTGACAAGCACATTGTGCCAATTGCCATCTGACAGTTAAGGACAGCAGGTGAGATGATAATGCATAGGGGTGAGGGTAGCTGGAGGCTGTTCTGAAGCACACGCTTCTGTTCTCTCTAGTTTCAGTTGTCTACACATAACATTACATCCTGAAATGCACTGTAAGTCATATCCTCTAATAGCTTACGATTGTATTTCATAATTAAACGCTTCATATTCTCTTGTAACTTTCAGAGCAAACTCTGTCATGGGTCACTGCTTCCTTGCTGATGCTCTGCTCAGAGCACCTGAGCCGGTCAAGGGCTGATTCAGTCACTTGGCAGTGTCCACTCCTGTCCACTAAGATCCACTTGCTTGGTGAAGACCCACAGGTCACCTGCCTGCTGCTGAGGAAGCCCCAGGCTGGCGGGGGCTGGAGAGCCTCTGGAGCAACTGCTGCCAGCTCTGGTTCTCAGGGAGCTTCAGGTGTGCGGCCGGGACCGCAGCCAGCACTGTCCCCTGTCCCTCTCAGGGCACTCGATCCTCAGGCAGGTGATGACAATATTAAGTACCTTCCCATTCCCTTTGGTTTTGCTTTTCCTGGCATAAGATGTCAATCCTTTCATGTTAGTGATTTTCTTCTTGAGTTGTAGAGTGACCCAATGCTGCTCAATAACCACACGTTTGCACTTTGTATCCTTAGTGCCCAAACACGGGCTTCTCAACTGCTGACAGGAACTCCTGGAGCCCTCTGCCACACACACGACCCACCTCCTCCAAGGTCTACGACCCACGTGACGATGCTTACTTCACTTAATGTGAGCCTCGGTTTCACATCAGCTCCAAAGTCACCTGGAGACAGGAAGGTCTTCTCTGTGTCCCCAAATGCCAGCACACACTGGGCATGATAAACATTTGCCATTTTACACCTGACACCTTCCTCCTCTATGTGCTTTAAGGTGGTTGGTCAAGGAAAGCTATAGCACCAAACCCACACCATGACCTGTGTAGATCCAGCAAACAGATAGCAAGGTGGGGTGCCGGACTTGGGGAAAGCCCCAGTCTGCATCTCAAGCACTATATGCACCCAAAGGGAACAAAGTGCCCTCCTTCATGCTCCCACGTCCCTTCCCACGCCCACTCAGCAGAACTTACCAGGAGTCAAGCGCCAGCTCCAGACGAGCGTTGTGTTTAAGACTGCCAACCTAGAGGGGGCTGCTGTCACTCCCCCTAGGCCCGACCAGGAGGTAAGTGAGCATCCCGGTCCTTTGTGGAAACAGGCTCTGGCAAGAACGTGGATGTGGCACTCTATACCACAAGGGCTCTGAAGAGATCCCCAGGGTAGAAGCATACTCAAGACATCAAAGTTTTACAAGCACATGCTCAAGTCATCCCTGAAGTTCTGATGATTTATCTCAACAGTGCTCTTTAATTCCAGCAGCTTTCCAATCTCAAGCTAAAGGTGTATTTTCATTAAATCTTTATAAAAATACATCAAACTAAAACTGCTACTTTAAAAGGAAGAGCAGAAAATTTTTTAAAAAGGAGGGAGCAGGGTCTAAGCACCTGAGTGGCCCCAGCAGCCCTGCACCTCCCGGGTTCCACAGTAGCCAGATCTTACCTCCACGTCCAACACCCACACTCTGCTGCCAGCACATGCTGCAACAACACGGTCGTCTGGACTAAATCTTAAATACAGCACTTTTTCCAAAAGCGTACCCATGACGGTCCCTCGAGGAACCAGCCCTGGAGAAAGTTTCAGGCATTAGTTCGGCAGTCACACAGCTTGGAAACCACAGAAGGGTGATAGTGTCATTCTCTACCCTGACATCACCAGGGGAAGCACAGCCACTTTGGGATGATTCTGGTTCTTTCAAAGTATCCAGATAACTGAAAGTGTTCGGGGCTCAGGACCTATTCTGGGTGGTAGAGGGACCATATGCTTTCAGAGTCCCACCATAAGGACATCCCCCAGCCAGCCTGCAGGGCCCAGGGGGTTGTGGTCAGCACCAGGAGTGGAGCTGGCCCAGGAGTCCCGCCTTTTCATGTGGCGCTGTGCCCAGGGCCCACCTGTGCAACAGAGCAAGCACTGCCTGGCAACTGTCCTGGCCCCTGCCCTGGCACCTGCCCTCACTGCAGGCACCAGCAAGGCAGTGTCTCCAGCCACCCAAGACACTTCACAGGGATGCATGTGTGTCACTCCAAGTGTGGCTGTGGCCAGGTCACCCCTCTGGACTCACTCAAGGGCTCCCTAACAAGCACCTCACCATGCCAGCCTCTTTCCAGAAACCGGATAGCACCCACGGGACAACTCAGTCAGGTAATGAGGAGACACAGAAAACACCAATAACCAGAGAAAACAGCCATGGAGACTACCAAAGGGAAACTCTGCTACGACAGAGACCAAGCAGGAGAGGCAACTGGGTGCCAGGTGGTGGCCAGAAATGGCCCATGACAAAAGAGACACAGGCAGAATGGGCAGTGGCTCGGTGCAGAGGTGTCACATAAGCAGATGGAGCCACAAGGGGAGGCACTGAGGCAGGACTGGTCTGCACTGCTCCTCCAGCTGGGGGGGGCGGGGGGTGCAGCTTTTGGACTCATGCTCTGCAGGAGGCAGGGGCCCTGGAGGGCTCTGTGCAGAGGGTCCCGTAAGCAGACTGACTTTAAAGGATGTTCTGGCTCCTGGGTTGAGTGGGCCTGGGGAGGGCAGGGAGGAGGGAGACTGGGAGAGGCTGATGCAAAAATCCAGATGAGAGACTGGGGGCAAGCCTGCATGCAGCCGTGGGGGTGCCAGGAGTTTCCAGGGGCGGCTGTGGCTTGAAGGTGATGTAGACAGAACTTGATGACACAATGGAAATGGGGTCGAAGGCAAGGACACTGAAGGTTCTGACCTGAATGCCAGAGGGAGGGAGTCTGGGTGACCCCAGAGGGGAAGGCAGAGGAAGAGGTTCTGTGGGAAGGCAGGTCCACGCTGGCCATCCTTCATCCTCTTAGACATCGGGGAAATGTCCAGAAGGGGTTACACGAGAGGCTGAGTCAAGAGAGGGGGCCCAGCCAGGGAGCAGAGGGTGCCATCAGCACACGAACTATGAAAAGCCAGCAGCCTGGAGACAGGGACTTTGACGAGACGGGAGAAGCCTGCACCACACCATTTGGGGCTAGAGGAGGAGGAGCTGGCAGGGAGGTTGCAGGCGAGTGGCCCCTAGGCTCAGAGGTCTGAGCTAACCAGACCCAGAGGCCAGTACCTGCCGTTCTCCAAGTCCAAGCACAAATCCAATCAGCATCGGACTCGGAAGTCCTGGGAACTACGCTCTCCAGCCCAGCGTACCCACGAACCAAACACACCTATGCCAGTTCCCGCGAAAGACTCGGGAGCCACATCAGTGGCTTCAGCTAGTGAGGACCACTGTGCCAGTTGCAGGAGAGTCTGTCCTCACTCCACGGAAGCTCCAGAACACCAAGGTGGACACCTGCAACCTGACTCTGCTCACCCAGTGCTACACCTCAGGGCTGAAGTTCTGCTCACCGTCCTGGGAGCACACCAGGTGGGAGAGAAAGTCTGTGGGAGCCTCCAGTGAACAGCCCAAAAGAAGCTCACAGGCACAGCTCCTTCTGCCTGGGAAGGCTGCCTATCTACAAGGATCTCTAGAACGAGTCACCACCAGGGGTTGCACCCCTACGTGAGCACATATGTAGTGCACGTGTCTGAGCTTGCTGACGGCAATACAGACACTGGAAATACTGACACGGTGCAGATTAAATGAAGGTGGGATATACCCTATTACCCCGCTGACTGAGTGAGCACTTTTCATTTTTTAGAGTAGCCTTACAAACTCAAATTCCTCTATGTGGTCCCCACCTAACTTGTCAGACTCACCTGGCAACGTTCTCCTAACAGTGCCACGCATCTCACAAGACCTTCTCAGTTCTCCCACAGCCAGCGCCTCGTGCCGAGAGCCTGTGTGTGCCCCAATGCCAGCCCCATCCCCAGCTCCGGTGCCACACCCTCAGGCCCACACAACATGGAAGCCTCCATGCCCACCTTCTCTCTGCCACCCCACACATGCACGCCCACAATTCACAACCACTTGCGTGTCCATGGGGGTGTTCTGTCTCACACTCTGAGCTGTAAACACCACCACAGTTGACACACCCTGCCCCTTCACCCCGTCTCCAGCTCAGAGACACCCATGTGACCCTGTACCTGACCATATGTCTTCAGATTGTCATGACATTCAGGGTTTAAAATAAGAAAGCAAAGAAGAAAGCTCAAGATCCCTTCAACCAGGAGACTGTGTGTCAAGTGGGCCAGTCTGGGGCAAGGTGTGTTTAGAGGCCTGCCATCAAGTGAACAGCCCCAGGATCCGAGCTCCTAGGATAGGCAAGTACGCTTAAGGATGATTTTTCCTTCTGAATATGTTTTAAAATGTGTTTTCTATTTACCTTTAAGTGACTTCTCTCTGCATTCATCCAGGTTCCATATCATAAGATAATCCTGTGATGCAGAACAGATTAGAGGTGGATTCTCTTTATTTCCAAAAGCCATAGCAGTAATTGACTGAAGGTGTCCTTGTAGGATTAGAAGCTGAAAAAAAATTTAAACCAAAATAACACAGATTACATTAACACCTAAAAAACAAAAGAGCAAAACAGCATTATTTCAAACCTAAGAAAGTAAATAGATGGGCTTTTCAAATATATTCATTTCATGTTTTCATTTTGAATTCATTCATTAAGATTCCTGCTTATGTACAGTGAATTATTCTCAAGTTAACCATGTCACTGAATACACGGAGGGCAAAGTTGCCCAAACAGCATCAAAGAAATGGTGGCAGGGGGCTGGGGGTTGGTGACCTTGGACTTAGGAAAAACACCTGCCCCTGGTTGACCACCTGGTGAGAAGGGTCCCTGATGCTCCACAGGCAAAGCTGGTTCCCATCCAGGGGGAAGGCACAGTACAGCATGCTGCAGGCCAGCTGCACATGAGACGCAGGCTGCTTGGACTCAGCCAGGTACTTCTCTGTAATCATAGTGTCCTCACAGTCACCGATGCAGGACACCTCCTGGGCCATTTTCAACTTTGATCTGAAAACACAAAGCACAGGAAAGATGATGCAGGTCTTATATTTGACACAACAAGAGTCTTCTGTTCACGACTGTTAGCACGACTACTTGCATCACATCATATCTAAATGACACACCTCCTCCACTCCAAGAAGGAAATCTCTAAAGGAGCTGGAGGCTCCAGATCCATGGCCACCCACTCCCCCAGGGTCTTTCCAATTAGCAGGTCTCTACTGGACCCCACACTTCCCACCTCCCCAGTCTTCTTCCAGGACCAGGAAGTGAGGGCAGCTGCCTCACAGAAGCAGAGACACAACAGACCCCTAAGCTACTGCATAAAGCCTTCAAAACACCAGTGAGCAGACCAAATACTGCCATCATCTTCCATCTGCGCATAGCCAATGAGCCGGAGGTAAACTGCATGCAAACCCAGATGGCTGAGGGCTAACCTGTCATCGACAGTAAGTTAGCAAGTGCGATCAGTGAGGCACAGCCATGTCTTACAGTAAGAGTGAAAGCTAATAAAACAGTGACAACATTAAAAACCGTTTCAGATTTTCTCCTACTACGTACTCTGGAGCTTCATAAGTGTAACCACCACAGACACATGTGGCATGGCCTGGAGGCCGTGGAGTCTGCACTGCCCCATGCTTCCTGACTCGCTCACAGACCTCTGGGTCATCCTGCTGGCCTAGCTACCTGGTGGTCATGTTGCCCACACACAAGGGTGACAGGGTTCATTCAGTTTGGAGAGACCTGACCAGGGCTCAGGAACAAAGCAGCAGTAACAATAGAGGAGCAGGAAATGGACAGTGGGCCAGAAAGGAGGGCACAGTGAAGGACAGAGAGGACCCTGAGGCCATGGAGGAGCCGGCACAGTCAGCAAGCAGGGCACCACAGAGGGGCTCGTCTGCCTCAGCTGACCCTGGAGAGCTACCAGAGGTTGCTGAACAAAGAAAGAACGGTACAGCTGCCATTAGGAAAACCCCCACGTTGGTCAGGCAGCTCCCAGCAGCCCACTCACACTCCAGTGAGACTGTGGCCACCTATGCCCGAGCACTGCCAAGACAGCTGTGAGAACGTCCCCAAGAGGAAGTGCCACGCCGTCCCTGCCTTCTTCAGTCAGGCACACTGACGGGGCTGAGCCTTGAAATCCACGCGTGGCCCTGAGACTAGGTCCTGCATGCGCTGTGGCGAGGTGGCCCCGAGCAGGCCTGCCTTCCTCGTCCATTGCCCCAGGCCCCACCACACTGGCTCTCTGGCTCATCCCTCACCCTGACACGTGCTGCTGCAGCCTCTCCACCTCTCCTTGCCCTCTCCTGCTGAACTGCCTGGCCCCTCTTGCTGTCTTGTCAGCACCTCAGGACAGCACAAGGAAACCGAGAAGCTACAATCACCTCCCGGAGGAGGTGAAGCTACAGACAGGGAATCCATGTCACCTCCTAAGTGCAGCTGAAGCACACAGGTTAACCAGGAAAGAGCAACACAACAGACCCTGCAGATTATCTCCTGGAAAACAGTCAAAGCAACTGATAAGCAACTTCAGTAAGAGACTTGGTTAAAAACGCGTGTCTCAGAATTGAGGCCCAGTTATCAGGAAAGCAAGGAATAAAGATGAATATGGAGACACTGACCTCACTCTAATGGATGCTCTGTTATGATAAGTGAAAGTCAACTTTTAATGACTTGGAAATTCTCAGTATTTGAAGAAAAAATATGTTGACTATTTTAAAGCACATTTGTCACCAACTCACAATTCTGGTTTCACTTATTTCGTATTTACGGAGATACAGTGAGTATCATAAAAAAATCAGAAACACTCCAAATGTCCAACAGCAATGAAACGTATAAAAAAAATCCTGTATTCACACAAGGGGGCGCCCTGCAATAATACCAAGCACACAGGAGTCACCTGGGATGAGGAAAGCAGAAGCTCAAGCTGCTATGGACAGGAGCCAGCCAAATGACCCAGATGGTGTCTGTCTGGGAGGGAGGCCAGGTTCTGGGACTGGCGGATATGCTCCTGGACCGGAGAGCGGATCCAGCTACTCCCTCTGTGCCCCTCCACCTGATGCCGTGGACCTGAGTCCCAGTGGGCAAAGCTGCCCTCTGCTGGCTGCAGCCTGGGGGCTTGGGGCACGTGTGGTGTACACTGGCACATGAGACAGCCCCATAATCTGCATGCCATGACCCACAAGCACTGCCCTCTGGCAACGGGAAGCCAGCACTGTCCCTTCAGGCTGCCTCACTCCTGGGCCAGTGCTTGCTATTCTGTCCCTCTGGTTAGACTACGCAATGTGCCTGATTCACACCCAGCTCTGCAAGGACAGTGCGTCTACTTTCTCACTGTTGTCTCGGTACCTAAAACAGGACAGGCACGCCACACTTACCTGCTGACCAAATGAATCTACAGCGCCCTCTAAAGGAGGGGCTGAGTGTGCACGGTCCTGGCATGAGGCACTCACAAACAGAAAGCCTGATACAAGTGGGCCACAGTCGCCAGCGTGCCAGCAAGAGTCCACCCGTGCTCAACTCTGTGCTTTCTGCTGAGCACTGTTTAATATCAGCTCAGAGATGAAGAGGTGTGCTCCCAGCCAGAGCCTGAGAACCATAGAGGCCACAGCCGTGTGCTAAACTGAGCACCCCCCGCCCCGTGCTGTCTGCACCTGCTGGAGAAGCTGTGTATCTCAGCAGAGCCCTGCTCACAGAGACAAGGCCCTGCCTTCAAGGGAAACCACAGGGCTTCTGAAGAGGCCAAAAGGACCCTAGAAAATAACATCAGATTTGCGCTGACACTCTGAGTCGCAAGATTGCAATCTAGAGAACCACCACAAACTCGGAAAAAAAACTTAGAGCAAGCAATATCAAGGTCACATCTCACAATTACAATCCTCGATAAAGCACCCAGAGACTGCTCTTCTGCTACCTTTCCAAATAATCTCTATTTCCCAGACACTGCACAATAATCCTGTAGAGGGGCCAGGTGTGAGAGGCCTCTGCACCATCTACGGTAGCAGGGGTCTTTCCGAGCACGGGACCTTGCCATCGCAGTGTGCACTCACTTTGTGGGGGTGCTAAAAAGGAGGTTAAATTAAAATGCGCCCTTGATGCCCCACAGTAGGAATCCACCTAGACTTGCCTCCTCTAAATACTTCAAGCCTGTCCTCTGTGCCACGAACACAGAAAGATGAGAAAAGCCAGCATTTCCACGGCCTCCAGAAGTATCTCAAGTCACGGTAACAAGGAACCAGCCTGGGTCCTCATCTCAAGAGTGGCATGAAGGAACAGCTGTGAGATAGTCAAAGGCATTTATGATATTTAAAATACGCCCTTGGACTCTTCCAGCCTATGAAGGAGACTCGTACATCTCTACTAAGAATCCAGTATTATCTTTTTCAAATGGTTAACAAATATATGAAATAAGTGTTCAACATCTCTAGCAATTAGAGAAATGCAAATCAAAACTACTCTAAGATTTCATCTCACTCCTGTCAGAATGGCAATCATCAAGAATACAGACAACAATAAATGTTGGCGAGGATGTAGGGAAAAAGGTCCACTCATACATTTCTGGTGGGACTGCAAATTGATACAACCACTATGGAAAGCAGAATGGAGATTCCTCAGAAAACTCCGAATAGAACCACCATTTGACCCAGCTATCCCACTCTCTGGTTTATACCCAAAGAACTTAAAATCAGCATAGTATACTGACACAGCCACATCAAAGTTCACAACAGCTCAATTCAAAATAGCTAAACTATGGAACAAACCTAGGTGTCCTTCAATAGATGAATAATAAAGAAACTGTGTATGTATATATATATATATATATATATATATATATATATATATATATATATATTCAGTGGAATATTACTCAGCTTTAAAGAAGAATGACATTACGGCATTTGCTGGTAAATGAATGGAGTCAGAGGATATCATGCTAAACTAAATAAGCCAATCCCAAAAAGCCAAAGGCCAAATGTTTTCTCTGATATGCGGATGGTAATTCACAATGGGGAAGGGGAGTGGGGAAGAATAGAGTCACTTTAGATCAGGTAGAGGGGAGTGAAGGGAGGTGAAGAGATGTGGGGTAGGAAGGAGAGTAGAATGAAACAGACATTGTTACCTTATGTACATATATGACTGAATGACCAGTGTGATCCTACAACATGTACCATCAGAAAAATAGAAATTATATCCCATTTAGGTATGATATACCAAAGTAAAGAAATGCATTCTATTGTCATGTATAAATAATTAAAACCAAAGTTATTTTTTAGAATGAATGAATAGAAAGAGAGAGTAGACAAAAGCAAACCGCGGGAGGAAGGAGAGGAGGGCAGGGCAGCACTGGGGTCCACAATGGAGCAGATCACGAACATGTCAAAACGAACCCCACTGCCACACCCAGTGGAACACCATGATAAAGACTAGAACAACAAGGCCACAAGAAGAAAACGGACGTCCAACCTCCCGGCAGGACTTCATAGAATACTCCACTCTAATTAATTTGAAAAAAAAAAAAATCTCAGCACAAGCAGGAAACTCTAGCAAGAGAAGGCTCGGTGTGGGTCTTGGGTCCCTGAGCCACACCTCACAGGCAGAAGCGCGAAGCCGCGGCCTGAAGAGAAAGCCCTCCAGAACCCCTCCCAGCACTGCGTCCCCACGTGGCAGCAGGTGGGAGAGCCAGGTGGACTCTCGAGCGGGAGGGACTGGGATGTTGGGTGCCAGTGCAGCAGCAGTCAAGACCCGTGACCCCAAGCCGCGCACACAGGTGGAAGGAGCACCGCTGAGCTGCGAGCCGTCATGGCAACCCTGCGGCTCCCTGCCCACACACCATCATGCCCGTTCACTGACACCCGCTACACACAGCAAGCACAGGGCTGAGCAAGCTGCAGCTGCCAAGGGACAGGAGTCAGAGGCACCGGGGCTGCAGCCACTGGCCAGTGCAGCCTGCCCTGCTCCTTGGTGGTATTCCAGAAAGGCAAAGCTGGCCAGCAGTCACAAGAAGAGTCCTTCCAATGGACCCTCCACAAGACGGGGATCCCCATGCTAAAAGGGTGCAGTCAGGGTGCCGTCCAGCTCACTGCCTTAAGAGCCGCTGCCTACGCACTCCCTGGCTGACACCTTCAAAAAAGAAGGCATTGCCCTGCACTTCCGAGCAGCCCCATGGTTCCTTGAGCGTGTTAGACAAGGACACAAAGAAAAGACCACTGACTCCGATTAAAATCAAATTAAAGCAAGCTTATTATTTCGACCGTCCAGGCTGCCTCTCCCAACAAAAACCGTGGGAACAAGACAGCCCCGCGGCTTTCTAGAAGCGCAGCTTTATAGCCCAGAAGGTTACACCAAGGGGGGTCACAGATAACAGAACTCTGAGGAGCATTACACAAAGGCTAGTTTACATTTTTGCTGGCCTCGACATCAGAATTTATGAAGGTCATTAGAGTCTCAGAGAGAGTTGTTACCTGGCCAGGGAAGGCCAGCCATGGGTGAGTTCAAGGCACGGGCAGGCAGGCAGTCCAAGCAAGTTTAGAATTCGCAGTAATTTATATAAAGCCTAAATTAGCTTTTTATGCCTTCGTGGTGAGACGGCTCCCAATTTGAAGAGGGAATCAGGCTGGGTTTATCAATGGTGCTCAGCTACACTGAAAACTACCCACACTGATTTCTCGGCACTCCAGCTGCGTTCAGAGCTTGCCAA